CCGCCGCCACCGCCACCGCCACGGCCATTGCCACTGCCCGCCGCCACCACCACCGCCGCCGCCACCGCCACCTGCCGCCGCAGCCGTCACCGCAACCGCCGCCGCCGCCGCCGCCGCCGCCACCACCACCACCACCACCATCAGAAACAAAACAAGCAGCACCAGCACCACCAGCACTGCCAGCGCCAGCACCATAGTACTGCGGCTGGTGTTCCATCAACGTATTGCTGTGCGGAAAAACCTGCTGCTTCTACTGTATCATCCCGGGGGCACCTCCCTCAGCGCGGCGTCCGGTGAGCCGAAAGCTTCTTCGAGCCGCTCTTGCCAGCGAAGGACGCAAACTTCCCAAGCTTGGCAACGGAACCCTATACCCCGCGAACCCACTGACCGTAAAGCAGCTTTTCTGGTTCAATCTATATCGTTTAAACTGATAGCCGATCTTTAGCCAGGTTCAGTAGAGTCAGGTCTTTGTCCCAACAGCTGTCAGAAGCTCATCTTCGCACATCACCGAATTGACTCGAACTTATCCTGCACGCAACCCCATGTGCAAACCAGACAAGCATGTCTTGCCAGACCATCTGTATGTGCTATGCCCCCCCATTATCCATCCCCAATTGTGACTGAATAAGCCTCCGCAAATGCGCTGCACCCGAAGCCACTTGAAGATCCTGGTGAGAATCATTCTCTATAAGTGGGTCATACCTTCGCATCATCACATCTCAGGCAGCCTTTGCTTTCGGCTGGGTCCTAACACCTAATTTGGCACCCTGATGTAGGGGCCTACAAATAAGGATATCAAGGCACCCTCGGTTCAGTAGGACCCGGCAGGAAACCCCCCCTATTTTCATGTAAGAATGATAGCTAACCACCTGAAGGTTTCCTAGAGAATGAAGTTTGGGAGGTATATTGTACTGTGGCTATGATATCAGGATTGTGAGGGAATACTACAAGCTTGTACTTGACCTGCTGGCTGATTTATCTCGCCCAGTTGGGTGCTTTGGCGAAATATATTAGATAAAGCACGCAACGACACATCACATAACAGAACGGGTTCCGTGGCTTTAGATCCTGCGTCAGTGCTTCACACTACACTCACACCCCTGAAGGATGATGTAATCCTGCTCTACTTTAATCCTACGGTTCCAAGGACCCAAATAATGGGGTTGTAGGTCCCAAATACCAAAAAACAGTATAGTGCTTGGGCCTACAAGGTAATCATTTGGGTCCTTGGACCCTTAGGGTAACTCAGGGTCGAGAAAATACCTTTCTGAAATAATTTCCTGCTCAAGCCGTGGATAGCTATACGCGTTGGATCCGAAGCACTGACCCGGGATCCACTAAAACTTCGCCGAAGCCCCCTATGACTATAGGGGTTATATTGAGACAATGGAAAAGAACATGGAAAGTACTATTTAAGGTTTAGGGTCCCCCTAAGTAGATAGAATATGGCTTTGCGTATATAATAACAAGATCCCCACATACACCATTTTCTATCTACTTAAGGGGGACTATAATATTCAATACGCCCCATATTCAGGCAAAGGCGGAGTAGTTCTACGTAGGGAAAATAACCCCCTAGACCCTCCATGTACCCTCTATAAACCCCAAATAGGGATCAGATGCCCCTATTTAAAGGGCACAAGGAGGGTCCTGGCCTGGACCCCTAGACCCTAAACCCTAAACTCCTAAAACCCTAAACCCCTAAACTCCTAAACTCTAAACCTGCAAACCCCTGAACCCTACACCCTATACTGACACGGCCTGCATCTTTATACAGGGCACACCCAGGCGAGGAACTCCCAGGACCTCAGAGCAAGCTTGGGCTCTAAGGTTTAGGGTTCAGGGTTTGAGGCTTTAAGGTTTAGGGTTTCAGGTTTCTTGTTTAGGGTTTCGGGTTTAGGGGAACCGGAAAGCTGAGGTTCCTGCAAGCCTCAAACCCTAAAGCAAAGCCAAGCGAGTTGGCAAAGCTTCCTCATGCCCCAATATTAAATTGCCTTTGTCCCCATTTGGGTGGTTGTCAAAATTATGGTCCCTTTTGGGGTACCCTAAATATTAGGTGCCGTATTATAATAGGGACCCAAAAAGGGACCATAATTTTGACAACCACCCACTTTGGGTCCCTTGACTATATGGGTATTTGCGAGGTCCAGGGGCTTCGCTTTTTCAATCAACACGGTTTAGGATTTAGGGTTGTATGGGTATGGGGGAAGCCTACAGGGCGTAAGCCTGGGTCGACTTAATTATGGTTGAAGGCCCCAGGCGCTCTCGGGACGTAGGAGTAGATGCCGCCTCTCGTCCGAAAATGCTGAAATGCAAGCCTGGAGATCCAAATCGCAAAGCACAAGACTGCCGCGCCCGAACATGATAAAAACAGTTGGGTGGTTCAATAGTCGGAAAAGCTTTTTTGACCTGGAATAACAGGGGCCCTTGAAATCTTTTTACTCTAGCCAGTAGCGCTGGGGGCAGCAGCATCTTCTCATCGAAAGAGGTGCAGATGCTCTTACCTTAAACCCGCCTAGACCTCTCAAATACCCAAAATAACTGTCATACAGTCATCATGCCCATTGGCCATTTTGGAGTTGAAGGCTGGTATTTTGCGTATTTGGAAAGCCTAGGCAAGCCCCAAGCCTTGTGACAGGCTTTGGGCATCTAAGGCACAGGGCGACAGCTGCAGTGGGGGCCCGGGCAGAGCCGACGTAGTAGCCGCGCTTTGCCTTAAAACCTCAGACTTTCATGAGGGTGTGCAAGTGTCTATAGCATGACGTGACAAGCATGCTGGGCTCTTATACCAGACGTACAGCGAATGAGGCTGTGCAAGGGTTCTAGAATATTCTGGGACAAGTATGCTGGGCTCTTCTACCGGTGAGGTAGAACGAGCCGAGGAGGTATCACCACGGATGAGACACGTGCTCGAGGATGTGTCCAGGTTGCTTCCCTAAACCCTAGGCCCTAAACTCTCAAGCCTATAAACACTAAGCCCTAAGCCCTAAACGCAAAGCCCCGCAACGCTAGTAACCTTCTCTGACACACGTCTGAAATCTGAAGCCAGCACCCGGGATCGTGCGTGCTATTCTCAAACTTGTGCCAGCACCGCTTTTCTGGAACCTCAAATCCTATCTGCTTTAAACTAAGTGCTTTACCCAGCAACTCCTAAACTCTAACCTCGAAGTTTAGGGTTCACAGTTTCTGTTTTTTTGTTTTTTGGGCCATTGCTTTCCCAACTTCCGGGGTCCAGGTAAACCCTTTGATTCGACTGGCGGCCTGCGAATCCGACTCCGTTGATCATGCGGTACTTCTCCTCGAGGCCACACCCCAGGTAACCGGGCTTTGATTCATGTGCGCTATAGTCTAAACTCCTAGTATCCCTCTTAGAAGCCCCTAAAATAGTCCCTATATAATCCCGCATGTAACCCCTATAAGGAATTCAGATTATAGCTCATGTAGTGGGGCTTCAGGTTTAGTGCTCTGCGTGCAAAGTTCTGGATTCAGAGGCGTAATGCCTGCTCCTGTACTTGTCTTGCAGGTTTTTAGCCTCGTTCTCATACCGAGACCCCGCAAGTGCGCATAAAGAACGGCCATTATACCCACTCTTTTATTTCGTAAAATGTCATCTTTCTGGGTATTGGGGAGGTATGGCTACTGCTAACCTACGCCCCCAAGACCATCTTTAACTAGCTGGCGAATCCTCCTTCAAAATTGAAGGGGCAAACCACCCCATAAGAGCAGCTGTAAATCTAACAGTCCGTACTAGGAACTGCTCCTGAACTTCTCCATGCATCTTCCCTATCCATTTCTGTGGGGAACACGTGGAAAGCGCTGATGCGCAGAACCCTGAAAGGATACCTGTAACCCCAACTACCTACAGCTTCGTGGTACCTACCCCCTTACTAGCAGGTAGGTGGAATGCTATGAATATAACCCATTAAGAGCTGGAGCTAAACACAGGGATAATTACAAGTAATTCTTGGTGCTCAAGTGGAAAGTCGACAACCAAAATCTCTCGTCGGGGCATGCCTGAGAATTCTTTGAGCAAAGCCACAACCCTCAACCCTAAACCTTAAACCCCTAAACCCTCAGCTAACCCCTAAACCCTAAACCCCTAAACTCTAAAATTCATGGCAACTTGCTGACACCTGCGCTCCTCAGATAGATGTACACAGCTTGCAATGGCGTCTCAGCTCGCCTAATCACCAACTC